TTTGAACCTCGTGGCCTAATGCTGAAATTCATTCTAAACTATGTTATGTTCTCAGAGCCCTCTTCAGGAACAGCCGGGAATTAATATGTGTGTGTGTTTGTAAAAATGTCAGTTTTGTTCTGATTGGCAGACAGTATGAAGTCTCTGGATAGGCCAGGCCTTATGTAAATACATATAAGGGATGGGTTTGGAAATGGAGTACTGTCAGCCCTCTTTATCCCTGGATTCTGTATCCACGGATTCGAACATATACACAGCTCTCTCTCTCTCTAGCTATATAGAAGGGGGGGGGGGAGAGATTAAATCACCAGAAACCTGCTTTTTATGTAGGAATTTTCCCCTCACATGTTGCAAGGCTCTGCAAATCCTGTATAGATATAGATATCAATAAATATATAGAGGTACCTATATATCTGTTTGTATACATATATGTGTGTGTGTGTGTGTATATATATATATATACACACACATTATTTTATGTATGAATTTTCCCCTCACATGTTTGCAAGTCTGCAAATCCTGTATAGATATAGATATCAATAAATATGTAGAGGTACCTATATATCTGTTTGTGTACATATATGTGTGTGTGTGTGTATACACACACACACACACACATTATTTTATGTATGAATTTTCCCCTTACATGTTTGTAAGTCTTTGCAAATCCTATATAGATATAATTATAGAGAGAGAGAGGTCTAGATAGATATATATGAATATAGATCTATTGGGCTTGCAAATATTGCAGGAGGGAAATGCACACACAAATATATATATATCGACATGTCTAGATAGATGGGAATAAGGATGCTTTTTAAGTTTTCAAAACATTTATTTAATATTTTTAGCATACATACATACATACACATACCTATTAATCTATATTAAATAAAAATGTAATGTTCTGTATTAGTGTATTAACTAACTCGATTACGGATGATGTCTACCCAATTTGGACACATACCACCTTACTGATCTAACTGAGTGACCATCGACTCGATACGCCGCCCCCGCCAAAAAGAAAGGACTTAAACGGTCGCGATTAGAACAACGGGAAAGGGAAGTACAGAAACAAAGGGAAGGAAAGAGAAGGGAAGAAGGGGAGGAAAATTAAGTAAGGAAGGAAGGAAGTAGAAGAAGAAGGAAGGAAGAAGAGAAAGGAAAAAGGAAAAAGAGGAAGAAGGAAGGGAAGAAGGAGCGAAGGAAAAGAAAAAGGAAGAAGGAAGGAAAGAGGTAGAAAAGGAAGGAAGGAGAGATGGAAAGAAGGAAACAGGGAGCGAAGGAAGGAGGGAAAGAAGGAGAGAAAGAGGGAAGGAAGGTTGGCCACAGCAAAGTGTGGCGGTTACAGCCAGTGTGTGTGTGTGTATCTCAAAAAAGCAGGTTTCTGGTGATTTAATCTATATTTATATTTAATAATTTTTCATCAACCATGGGGATTTCTTAGGAAGATGAAAGAGTGCTCAGAATGAGCATCACAACTATATGTGTTTGTATTTCCATGTCTATGCGGAAAGAGTCATTGCTTGTATATGTATCTATTTTAGTCCAGTGGCATAGTAGTACATTTTGGAGTGTCGGGGCTCATCCTGAGAGTACACACACAAACACAAAAGCACATAGTAAACTACCTATTTTTTTTTACAACTGTAAGGCTGGAACCCTAGTCCCTTAGTATTTGAGGAGTAAGCTTCACTGAATTCATTTTTCACTGCGCTGAGTTTAAACAAAATAATTAGCCGGCTGAACAGAAGCCTTTTAGTATTTAATTAGAAATGCAAGCCATCTTGCAAAAAAAAAAGTACATTTTTAAAGTGCCAGTGTTAAGCAGGAATACAATCACAGGAAAGGAAAATAAAATATGCATTTCCTGTCTGTTTTCTTTTGCTCTGACTCCTCTAACTAATTTGTCCCAAAGAATAGCAAACGCTGAATGTATCAATATTTATTTCTTATATTTATATGCTCTGGTTTGCCCAAGGCAGCACACAGGGTCTTCGTACCCATTTTGCATTCACAACCATCCTGTGAAGTAGTTTACACTGAAATGTAAGGATTGGCTGAAAGTCACCCTTTGAGCTTTATAGCAAAGTAGGGAGTTGAACAAGACTCCCCACCAGTCATAATCTCTCACTGTTCTCTGAATAGAAGCTGTACTCTCCCATATTTACATTATACTACCCTTGTAGCTGTGCACCTTCATGTTATTTCTGACCCATGGCGGCCCTAATGCAGGTATGCGCAAATCCAGGCCCAGGGGCCAGATGCGGTCCCTTGGGCTCTTTTCTTAGGCCCTCCTCTCCATCACCATCCTATCCTTCTCTCTTTCCTCCTTCTTTCCCTCTTTCTCCTTTCCTCCTTCCTTCTTTTCTACCCTTTCGTCCTCCCATCCCTCCTTTTCCTCTCTCCTTCTCTTTTTCCTTCCTTCCTTCCTTCCTTCCTTCCTTCCTTCCTTCCTTCCTTCCT